AAGACCATGGACTTACAGGTTTACGTCTCGACGACTTGCTACCAGATTCACTGCTCCACACGTCACTCGACTTCCCGCCCTCATCATTCTCGTCCTTCACACGTATTTCCACATTGATGTAAAGGCCAAGACAGTTGGATGGCTGGATGTTCTCATCGTAACGACTGTCCAAGAGTTGTGCCACGATGTTGATCATGTTGTCCGCCTCGCCGGTAAACTCCAGCAGATGTCTGCTACCCGCCTCCACCGTGATGGAGATCACACCGTTTTTGTTAGGGATATGATAACTGTACTCCTCCGCCTCCCCGATCCTTTCTATCACCACACCTTTCTTCTTCTTCCATGGTGACGGCTGTGGTTCTTCTCGCAGCGTGAAATTTCCCCTCGTTTCCACAGCGGCGCCCGCGGTGACCGCAGTAATTCTGCCAAATCCAATAGACGACATCCTCGAACCGTACATCCCCCACGACACCTCACCGTGCGCCAAGAGCGGCAGCAGCGTGACGGAGAGAGTAAGAACGCAGTAAAACCACCGCATCATTTTTCCTGACATGTCTCTATTCCCCCCTTTTTTTTTTGTTTAAATTTTCTTCTTTTTTTTTTTTGTTTCTCTTTTTATTTATCTTCTCTGTTTTCGTTTTCTATTTTCTCTCTTTGTTTCCCCTAAATGTTTGCTTCGCAAGTAAACGGAAATGTCCCTCTGTTTCTTTTCTCCCCTCCTCCTCCTCCTTCTTCTTCTTCCAATTGAGAAAGAGACGGAGAGATAGGGGAAAAGGAAAGGTGCATGTCTCATTGCATGGCTTCTGAGATGCCACCCACGCATTGCAAATTCAACGTCCATCGCGTGACGCATTCGCGGTGAAAGTTTTATTTTATTTTTATTTTTATTTTTATTTTTATTTTTTGTTTAAATCAAAGTCAATGCCAAACACGTCGTCCTCGGCAAATGCGTCGTGTGACGTCTCCACCTTTCTTTTCGCCGAGGAAGACGTGTCGTCATTGACGCCCTTCTCGCGCTCGTGTGCCCGTTTCGGCTGCGGGCCCTCCACGCCGCACGAGACCTCCGCCGCGTACAGCTGCCGCAGGTGCTCACCGAGCGCATCCATCGCAAATGCAAAAAAGTCCAAATTACCCGCCGCTTGCTTCACGTTACTCTCCGCTTTGTTCGCATTGCCGCTGCCGCTCTCGCTGGCGCCGTCAGGGCTCCTGCCATCGTCAATGTCGCCATCCTCCACTTCTCCGTTGACGTCGCTGCCGGCGTTGTTGTTGTTGTTTCCACCTCGACCGTTGCAGCTGAAATTCGTGAGCCACCCATGCATCACCGGGTGCATCTCATAGCTGTGAAACAGCATCTTGAAGAGATGCGCCTTTACAAATGCGAGATCAACGGGGTAGCGTTGCACAAGCTGCAGATACTCCTGCGCCGTCCGAATGGCGTCCAGTCGTGCCTCACAGCACTCGGCAAAACACCGCCCGTTGCGCACAGGGTGAAGCGGCGCTGCAAAAAGACGCGGATCCCACAGCAGCGGCTCGGCGCACATGTAACCATCCGTCATTGTTACCGACATATTACGCCGCACATCCTCAAACGTCAACACATTACCGTTCCCAATGACAGGAATGGACCCGCGCAGGTGCTCACGTACACGCCGTATCTTTTCCATGTCCGCAAGCCCTCTCTTGTTGTGCCGCGTTCGGCCATGCACGCAAAGGACCGCAATGCCGGTGTCGCGCAGCATCTCCGCGTACTTCAGCGTCAAGGCGTCGTCGTCAAACACACGCATTTTCGCCGTCACCGGCACCCGCAGCTCGACTGCGAGGCAGTGCAGGATGTTGTGCACACGATCCCAGTCCTCCATGAGAAACGAGCCGTAGTGGCCACGGCGGGCAATGCCTTGCGGACAGCCAAGGTTGACATCAACTGCCTCGCAGTCGTCCTCCACGTGACGCGCCGCGGCGAGAAGCGTGTCGGCGTCATTCCCGAAAATTGCACAAAAAGCGGATGGTCTGTTTCTTTTCCATCACTCGTTCTCCCGGCATCTTCTGCTGCTTCCCCTTCTCCTGAGACCGTTGCCGTCATCGCTGGTTCGGCGCGGTGCGGGGTTGTGGAGAAGTAGCGTGCACGGTACTGAGCACTCTGTGCAAAGCTCCTGGCATGCAACATAGGACTGTACGCCAGCGTTGCTCCGTAGCGGCGGCAGAGCATTCGGAATGGCAGTTCGCTCTGATCCACCATCGGCCCTACAACGTACATTGGCCTCCGTCGCGGCGGGGCCCGATGGGTTTGTTCTGCACCCAACGCCACCCCTTCATTCTCCACATGGTCGTGTGCATCGCTACCGTCATTACTCCGTGCGGCAGTGGGGGCGCAGACGATGTTGTCCCAAAAGTCCCACGGCGATTGGGGTTTCCTCTTGGGGTCAATGTGTTTAATCCCCGCGCTGCGACGACCGTTGCAGTACGGGCACGTTGAGCTGCGAAACGGCTCCCCGCGTCGCACAAGCCCCCGGTACTTCTCCAGCAGCGTCTCATTGTACGCCATCCCCAATGTTTTTTTTTTTTTTTTTTTGTGTGTGTTTGTGTGTGCCTGCGGTGACCTCCCCCCCCCCGTACTAAAGCCAAAATCCCAGTGGGTGGGTGCATGCCGATGCATGCGTGCATCACAGCCACAGAGAGAAAAGAAAAGAAAAAAAAAAACAAAAAGACGAAGGAGACATGAAAAGAGTGAAAAAAAGAATTCGGAGGAAGAGGCACACCCAACACGGGAAGTGGCGCGTGACAGCAGACATCCCCACCACAAAGAAGAGGAGTACGCATCAACATCCACGCAGCTTCAGGCAGTAGGTTACACCATCACCACACAATGAAACAAGTCAGCAGTGAAAACATTTATATATACAAATATATATAAATATATACACGGGCACAATTATATACACATGGCTGGTAATTCCGTGTGCACTTTTGTAATGCATCCCAAATAAACATACAACAAATTTCAAATATCCCACAAGACATTGTAAAAAAAAAAAAAAAAAAAAAAAAAAAAAAAAAAAAAAAGGAGAGAGAAGACTACTTTAAATCATTTATGCATACAAACAAACAAACAAACATAATAATAATATGAATGAATATATATGTGAATATATAAACATACATACATTTCCCACCCTTATCCCACTGTTTACTGTTTTCTTTTGTTCCTCATCCATTTAAAAGAAAAAACAACAACAACAAAAATTACATCCACACCCAACAGAAGACGCATCTTCTCCCGCCCCCGCCCCCTCCTCCTCCTCCTCCTCCTCATGTTACTTCCGGGCTTCTTGTTGATTCACAAACATAAGTTATGACGTCATGAAAAATAACTTCACATTTTATACCTTCTTTTTTTTTTTCCTTTTTTTTTTTCTTCCCTCCCGCACTACCGCTCATCAAAAAAAAAGTACTCAAAATAATTAAAATAAATAAATAATTAATTAAAAAAAAAAAATAACGCTTCCATAAAAGTCCTCTTCTACTCCTACCACGCCTCCCTCCCCCTCCCTCCCCCCCCACACACAAAAGCATCCAACCACATTTCTCTTCTTTTCTCTTCTCTTTTTCTGTCTGTCTGTCGTCCTGCGCATATTTGCAGGAGGGTCGTTTGACGGTGTCGTGGCAGTGACGCCTCACCAAAGAAACAATGAGAAAAAATAGAAGAAACAGAACTCACCGCAGACCAATCAATCAATCAATCAATCAATCAGAAACTACAAAACTAAAAGAGACACCAAATATAATAAAAAAACAACAACAACAAAAACAAAACAAAACAATTTCAACAGAAAAACGGTTATCAAACGCAGAGCAGAAGACCAAAAACAAACAAACAAACAAACAAAGGCAGAAGAGCGCAAAAGAAAGAAAGAAAGAAAGGCCTAAAGGAAGTAAATATATATTGAAATGAATCACGTAATGTGTACACCAACTGCAGCTGCCAGTAATAAAACGCCTCAAATTAAAAAGACACTTCTCACGTGATTCTGCATTTCTCTCTCTCTCTCTCTCTCTCTCCCTTTCTCTGTGGTCCTCACATATGGAGGACGTCGGAAATCATGTGTGAGGCCCCGCATACGGCTCATGGCTCCACCCAATCGCCGGTGCCGTAAAGAAGCCACTCATTGCTGCATTTTGCTCAATGATATGCCGCCGTGTAACACGCTGTCGCTCAGCTCTCGGTGACACAATCTCCACCTCAACATGCCTCTTGTCATCATCCTGCGCCTCGTTGCTACTCACGCAGCTGCTGCAGCTACAAAGGGAGTCGTCTGCCCAGCCACCAAACGGGCTGCTGCGGCCGTTGTTGTTGGGGTTGCCGCCATCAACCTTGCTGCTATCACGTCTCCGCAGGCGGTGGCGATGGTTCCGATTTCTACGTTGCCGCATTGAGCGACATGTGGAGCTCCCGCAGCTTTCGTTGCCGGTAAGTTGACTAAGCGGTGACGGCGGTGCGGTCGTGTTCTGGCGCGAGAGATAATTCCCGTGGCCGTACACCGCCCCGGAGCTTGCGACCGTCGTGCAGCTGAGGCTGTCCGCAGTGTACCTCGTGCGGAACCAGCGGGAGTTGCTGCCGCGTGTGTGGAGGCTCATCGCACTGCCGTCACTCCCGCCGCCGTTGCTGTCGACATTCCCGTCGGCCTCTTCCTCCGCCGCCTGTGGCTGCTGGCGCCGTGCGAGGCGTCGCTGCCGCCGCTGCGCCCGCTGCAAATTCCGCCGCCGTTCCTCCTCCGGGATGCGTGGCGCCTGCGAGCGCAGCGGTATACCACGCACCTCCTCGCCCTCCTCCCCAAACACGGACGTAAACAGTTTGTAGCGGTGACAAAAAAATATGCCTCCCCACAAAAGCAAAGCCGATACACCGAGACACACAAAAATTACCGTCAGCAAAGAAATGGCATCGACCATTGTTTCTTGGCGCACACAAGACGGAAAGGCAGGCCCTTTCCCCTTTTCCCACTACGCGCCAATGACTAAATCTTCTGATGTGTGGCGGTATTACACCAAACGTATGCATGCACATAAAAAGCGTAAAAGAAAAAGAGAGAGAGACAGAATAAAAACTTACAAGCAGAAATGAACGTCGGGACGGCAGCACACACAAGGACGGTAAGAATGTGTGTAAATATCCATCCACCCCTCAGCCTCATTTGGGAAGTCACGTGTAAATGTGAAATGTACATGACAATAACCACCCAACCGACTCCACAGCACCGCCACCGCCACCACCACAACGACAACATTCAATAAAATACAATCGACATAAAGACATGCAAACGCCAGTTTTTACGTAGCCGCAAGAAAGACACTTAGATTTATTATTGTCGGTTTTCATCGGCCCGCGCGAGAAGAAGTAAAAAAAAAAAAAAAAAAAAAACAAAAAAAACCCGGCAGCAAAAAAACAAAGAGGGCGGAATAAATAATCAAAAATCCAACCTAAAATAAACAACAAAAACAAACAAACAAAAAAAAAGAATAAAAAAGAAGTCCACATTAAAAGCAGAGAAAAATGCG